CTCCCTTTCCCAGCAGGATGAAGGCAGATTTCCCTCCCTGCTACAGTTCTGGGAAGCTAGTCAGGTGCTGGTCTCACCTGGAAACCTGTTCTCTGTGCAGGGCTGACGGGAAACACTGCCTGGAATGGTTTTCCATCAGAAAACAGGGGTTTGTTGGAATCCAATCTTTCCCTGGGAACCTGTCGATCTCGCTGCCATTTTCCCCGGGAAGAAGCCTCCCGGAATCACTTTGACTTTCTCCTTTCAGCAGTGTCAAAATGTTTATTCTGAGCATGTCAAAACACCCAAGTTCATTGCAGGAAAGTAAAAATATTTCATTCTGACTTTATCATTTCCCTCACTTAACTTCCACTTTATGTTCCATGAAAGTACTTTTTAATCGGCGCCGCTTGAGCTCCTCTCGCGCCGCGACTTCCCGGGGAGGAGGCGACGAGGGATCGTCACACGTGTCATTTCCAGGGCCCGAATTAGCATTTGGGAGAATTGTCATTTCACAGGATGTGCTGCACGTGTGGCTTTGCCTCCCAAAGCAGAGCAGGCGCCTCACACGCTGCTGGGGTTGTCTCGGTGCTTCCCCCCATCCAGCTCCCTGCAGACACCCAACAACTGGTGATTCCCATTGGGATCAGGGGCCTGAGGTGAGGCTGATGGATGTGATGGGCACACCAGGGTGCTCCCCTCTCCCCTGATGCCACTCTCCCTCTATCCCCTGGTGCCCTTGCAGCTGGGAATGCTGAGCTGTGATGCTGGAAGCTGAATTTTTCCTTGGCAGTTGGACAAACTGGTCCCAAACACAGTCCTTGGAGCCTGCTGGTGGTTTTTGGCATGGGCAGATATCCCACCTGCCTTCCAGCACAGCCCTCACCAGCGTGGTTCCTCCTCGGTTCCCGCAGCTCCATCACCACCTGTGGGGTTCTGCCCTGTACCCTGGAGCTGCTGGAATGGTGAAGGGGATGGGTGCTCCAAAACAGCTCTCAGGTGTCAACCTGGGTAGGGGTGGAAAGGGTAGAGGGGTTGTTGTGGGGTGTTGAACATGGGATGTTGTGGGAACCATTCAGATGGAGGAAAGATGAAGGTCCTGCTGGCCCGGTGGGGTGAGATGGGAGGTGACACCAGCACCAGAACAGCAAGCCTTGGCTCTGCCCAGGACTGCCAGGGAGATGGGGGAGCAGGAGCTCAGGCTGCACCGCCCTCCTGGGATCTGGTCCATGAGGAGATGCCTGGAGCAGCAGCTCTCCACCTCCTCCTCCTCCACCTTCTCCTCCTCCTCTTGCTCCTCCTCCTCATCCCACAACCGGCCCCTCTCCCTTCAGCTGGGGCTGTGATCCTGCCCACACCCTGCCCTCCCAGCTCCCCCTGCCCAGCAAGGGTTTGCCCTGGGGGGCAGTGCTGAGGTACCCCCTGGAGGTCCCCCTGTTCACACCATCCTGACACCATGCAGAGCAGTTTTGCAGGTGACTCGAAGCAGCCAAACACTGTAACATCCACCACCCCCAGGCACTGGAGCATCCACCAGCCCATCCACCCACTGCTGGTGGGCACAGCTCCAGTGCTTTCTGGGGGCAGAACTGAGACAGGGCAGGTACAGCCCCGCTCACTGCCACCCTTGCGTGCGAGGAGCAGCTCACATGTGCATGGCAGGATGTGTCAGAGTTGGTCCTGCCCACTCCATCCCCACTGAGCTCCTGTTTGCCCTTTCAGCCTCACTCTTCCCACCCTGGAGGTGGTGGGCACCTTACCAAGGCTGGGCATATCCGTGTCACCTCTCTCCTCCTGCTCCTGAAGTGTGAGCTTCACACCACAAACCAAGCTGCTGAATGGCTTCATCATCATCAAGAGCAAACTGGCTCATGCCCCAGAGCTGGGAGGCAGAGGAGCCCCCTTTCCTGGCAGGATGGGCAGAGAGGGGGAAGCAGGACACTCCATGGAACACCTTTGTCCAGGTGCTGCTGGAAGCCATCAGGGAAAGGACAGACTGGGGAGTTGCATCGAGCAAGGGCTGCACTGGCATGGGAAAGATCACAGAATCCCAGAATATCCTGAGCTGGAAGGGACTCACAGGGATCAATGAGTCCAACTCCTGGCCCTGCACAGGACACCCCAACAATCCCACCATGTGCCTGAGGGTGCTCCTTGAGCTGTGGCAGGTTTGGGGCTGTGACTGCTTCCCAAGGATCCCAAGACCCTGCAGCACCACCCACCCATCGCCCCCTTCCCTGTTGCTGCTGCTGCCCTGATGGCTCTGCTCTGCTCTGCTCTTTCCCCCTGGACCTGCTGTGCCCATGCTCATCCCAGGCTCTGGAGCAGCAGGTGAGGGGTGTGCAAGGGATGCCAGGGATGGGAGCACCATGGAGTGGGAGCACCATGGGATGGGAGGAGCTTTGGTTGCTTTTAGGTGCGAGGAGCCACAAAGTTGTCCAAAACAGGCCTGTCACCTCACCCCTGAGGGCCATCCTTGTGTGCCTGGGGCAGTTCTGCTGTGCAGGTGGGGAAACTGAGGCAGCAGGGGAGTGAGCCCAGTGTGGTCCTGCAGAATTAGGCACCTGGCAGCATGGGCAGGGAGCTCTGAGCGCTGTCCCCAAGGGATGAGTTGGCTCAGGGAGAGGCACCTGCTGCAGGGCAGGAGGAGAAGTGCTGCAAGAGAAAGGGAGCAGCACCAGGCAGGGACAGGCACGGGAAGGGCTGTGCAGGCTCGACCCTCCACTCAGCTCCGCACTGGGGAACTGGGCTGGGAAAACAAGGCTGGAAGAGCAGGTGAGAAATGTGGGAGTGTTTTGACTAAGGGAAGACTGAGGGAAGAAACACCCCTGGCTCCAAATGGGCAAAAGGCTGTGGAGAGGGAACGGTTCTGCCTGTGGATCCTCGGGAAGGGGAAGGACATAAACCACAGCAAGGGAAACTTGAGATAGTCGCTGGAGAAATGCTCTGGGGAGGAGGGAGGCACAGGGAGATGAGCACGGTAGCACCGCCCTGGGGTCTGTGGGGTCAGGGGGCGTTTGGGGTCAGGTCTGTCCTGAGAGTGCTCTGGTACCCCCATAGCCAGGATGGGCAGGGCATGTCTGATGCCAGCCTGGCTCAGCCCTCCGGGGCTTGAGGAACCAAGGAGATGAGGGGCTTGGCCAGCAGGTCCCCAGCTGCCTGGCAGGGAAGGAGGGAACACACCCCCCAAGCCCTCGTGCTGTGCTGTGCCCCCAGGGACAGCTGGAGCCTCTGCAGCCACCACTGTCGCTGTGGGTTGTGAAACAGAGCACTTGTCAAGTCCCGCCTGTGTATTGTATTATATTTATTATATTATATCTATTAGATTATATTATACTTTATTATATTATTAGAGCTGTCAGGCCGAGCACTCTCAGGCTGGAACCATCAGCTCCTCAGTTGCTTGGGTAACCTCAGCCCGTCCCCTCGGACCAGGAACGGGGCTGCAGGAGCAGGACCGCACGTGACTGTGGCAGGAAAGACACTGTTACAGGCACAGCTGGTGGCACTTAGGGTGACAAAGCCCGGGGGGATTCAGGGAGCTCAGTGACAGTGTTCCCAGGGCCAGCCAGGCACGGCGGGTGGGGACAGGCAGAGTGGCTGCCCGCTCCTGGGGTGGTGGGGAGGGGGAAAAGGTGGGTGTGAGGAGGGGTGTGTTGGGGTGCAGGCAGCAGGGTGGGCACGGGCAGGGCTCAGGCGTGTGTCCCCCGCGGGTGCTGGGTGAGAGATGCGTGTGGGTGCAGGATGAGGTGTTTGCACCCTCGTGGGTGCCGGGGGTGCGCGGGTTGGGGCAGCGCCCCTGCCCTCCTGCCCTGCCAGGCCCCGGGTGGGCTTCGCGTGTCTGACTAAACATCACCGCGACCCCTGCGGTGACACCACCGGGGAGCCACCGGGCTGCTGGGCCCGGCGGGCTGCGGGCAGGGCCGGGGTCGGGGCCGGGTCGGGTTTGGGATCGGGGTCGGGGCCGGGTCGGGGTCGGGGCCGCCGCAAGGGGGGCGGGGGGCGTGGCCTCACTCGAGGGGGCGTGTCTGCCCGAGGTGGGCGGGGCCGCTCGCGGGATGTCCCTCGGCGGGGGCGTGGCCGAGGCTCTCGGGGGCGTGGCCCGTAGTGAAGGGGGCGTGCCCCGCGTTGCCCGGGGTGACGCGCGGATGCATCCGGAGTCCGTGACGTCACCCTATGTGGGCGGGGCCTCTCCCCCCTCCCCATTCACCCCCCTCGCACCCGGAGCGTCCCGCCGGCGCCCCCGCCAATCAGCGCGCGTGGGGGGCGTGGCCGCCGGGCGCCTCCGGCCAATGGGGCGGCGGTGGCGGCCCCGGGGCTACAATGGGGGGCGCCCGGGGCGCACGTGGGGCCGCGGCGGGGCCGGGCGGGGGTCGCGGCCCGGGCCAGGCGGGGGGGACGCGGGGCCGGGGTTGGGGCCGGGGGGCTCCGCTCCGCTCCATCCCGTCCCGCCCCGCCGCTGCCCCGCGCGGCGCGGGGGCACTCCCCTCCCCCGCCCTCCCCCCGCCCCTCCGGGCCCTCCCCCTGTGTCACGGCGGCGCCCGCATTCGGGAACGGGCACGGCGGAGGGAGGGAAGGAGGGAGCGAGCGAGCGAAGGAACGCACGAACGAGCGAGCAGCCGCTCCAGCATGTGGCCCGCCCGCGCCGTGGCGGCAGCGCGGCGGCGGCGGCGGCGGCGGGCAGGTGCGCGGCCGCTGAAGCGGAGCGGGGGGGCGTAGGGGCGGGAGCCCGCCCGCCGCCGCCCTCGCCGGCGCTGTCAGGTGCGTGCCGCCCGCCAGCATGGCTCCGCCGCAACGCCGGACCTAGCGCCGGGCCGCCCGCGGGAGGCTGCGCCCGCCGCGCCGAGGGCTCCCCCCCAGCTCCGTCCCGCTTCTCCCCCGCCCAGGTGCCCCGGAGCGCGCCGGTGCCCGGCCGAGGATGCTGCCCGCCGCCGCTCGCCCCGGTTCATCTGTTGCTGCCTGAGCCAGCCCGATGGATGCGGCCGCCCCCGCGCTCTGCCCGCCCGCAGCCGCCCCGCTGGCCGCCGAGCCGGGAACCGCTCCGGAGCTCCGCGGCTGGTAAAAACCGAACCAAAACCAAATCCGAACCAAAAAAACACACTCCCGCTTCGGCCGGGGCTGGAGAGGCGGCCGAGGACCATGCAGCGCGTCCCCCGGCTCGGCGCTCCCGGCAGAGCCGCCTCCTAGAGCCGCCGGACTCGGGGCTCCCCCCGCCAGGACCCGAGCGGCTCCTCCTTCCCCTCTCCCCTCCAGCCGGGCAAGGAGCCCGCCTTCGCACTCCTCTCCCTCTCGAGATTTTGGGTTTTTTGTTGTGTGTTTATTTTTTTTTTTGAGTGGAAACCGCCCGTAACTCCGGGGGGGGGGGCTGTAGGGGGACGGCGGGGAGGGGACCATGGAAGAAAAGCTCCAGGCGCATCAGGTGGAGATCGACCCGGATTTCGAGCCGCAGAGCCGGCCCCGCTCTTGCACTTGGCCTCTCCCCCACCCCGACTTGGCGGCGGAGGAAGAGGATGGGGGCGCGGGGGGACCCCCGACGCTGGCGGCCGGCGGAGACGGAGCCGAGAACGCGGCGGCCCCGGTGGAGCGCAGAGTCGCCGCCGCGCCCCCGCCGCCCCCCGGCGCGGATGTGGGGCAGCTCCGCAAGGCCAAGACCTCCCGGCGCAACGCCTGGGGCAACCTTTCCTACGCCGACCTCATCACCAAAGCCATCGAGAGCTCGCCGGAGAAGCGCCTCACCCTCTCGCAAATCTACGACTGGATGGTGCGATACGTTCCCTACTTTAAGGATAAAGGAGACAGCAACAGCTCCGCCGGCTGGAAGGTACCTCACCCCCTGACCCCAACCCCAGCGCAACTTTGCCCCTCTCTCGAAGGTGTGCCAGAGCTTGGAGGCTTCTCCTGGGGCAGCCGGAGCTTGGCTCTGGTTGGGCGGTCTGGGGGATCCCCGCTGTCCTCACGGTTGGGGAGATAAGGGCTCGGACAAGTTTTGGGGAGAGCCGGTGCCTCGTGGTGTTGCGTGTTAGAACCGGGGTGAGCTTGTCCCCGTGTCACCCGCCAGGCTCGAGCTGAGCGCCGGAGCGGTGCCACCGTCCTCCCGGGGGTCGGGGATGGCGACGGGCAGCGGGGTCGTGGCCACCGTCCTCCCGGGGGTTGAGGATGGCGACGGGAAGCGGGGTCGTGGCCGGCTCTCCCAGGTGTCCAAGCACCGGGGTGCGGTGAATGACAACCCCACGTCACGGCTCTCCTGTCCCTGCCGTGCCAGGTCCCCGCGTGCCGGTGGCGTGCCCGGGAGCACAGCCGGAGGGAGGGCTGTCCCCGAACAGGTGTCTCCGGGCTGGCTTGTACCCAGTGCGTCCTCCCGTCTCAGCCCCCGCCTTCCCCGGGGCTGCGCTCCCCTCCCGGGGGGGCCGTGCAGGCAGCACACGGTCCCCTCAGCTCCAAGCTGGCATTCCCCGGCTCCGATCCCGGCTGGCACTGTGGGCTCGTTAGGATTCCCTGGCAGGGACAGTATTCCAGTCTTGCTTGGTGGGAGCTGGGGATCCCTGGCACCGGCAAGGGCACGGGGAGCGCTGGGTCGGGGGGTCACCCTGGACCCTGCCCCTCCGGCTGGTGCTGCGCTGGGAAGGGGAAAGAGATCGGCTGTGTCCAGATGGTGTCAGTAAAAAGGAGTCGGTTTCTCTTAAGTCCTCCCCTAAGCCCTGTCACCTCCAGTGTGATTAGTGTGTGACGAGGCTCCAGGGGCTCTTACACCAGCCTGTGGCCCTGGCACGCGAGTCCTGGCTCCGGACCCAGCCCACCTCAGGGGGTCCTTCTTGGGTGAAAATGGGGCTCTTTTGGGGCAGGAAGGCTGGAATCTGTGGCACCTATATCCAGGCTGTGGGGGCTGGTGTTATGTGGAGGCTGGGCACCCACTCATGATGGGTGGGCAGAGGGCAGCCGGTGTCCCCCTGGTGTGGAGATTGGCCAGGGAAGGGTGTCGGGGCTGTGGAGGTGGCAGGAGGTGGTGGTTGTGTGGTGCCTCTCAAACCTCCACCTGGGGCAAGACCTGCACAGCCCTGGGCAAGTGCTGGCAGAGAAGGGTCTCCCCAAGACTCACACCTGGTGGGGACAGCAGGGGACATGCACTCATGGGGTCTTGGAGATGTGTCGGGGAGGTGTGTGAAGGCTCTAGACTGGGGCCTGGGAGGGCTGGGATGAGGAGCAAAGGGATTCCCAGGCAGCCACATGTTTCAGTGGGGGCTTCGTGGTGCATGATATGCAAGGGGAGGGCAGGCTCAGGGTCCAGCTGCAAATCCAGGGGCATGTAGAGGGGCTGCTTGCTCAGATGGGCTCACCTGTGTGCACCCTGTGATGAGATGCTCTCTCCTTTCCTGGCCCATCTCCAGGTTGGAGCATGTGCCAGGGCTCTGCCTGGGCTGTGGGCAGGTGGCTCTGCTGCCAGGACTGCACTGCTGTGGGCTGGTTCCCCCATGGAAGCCTCCCTTGCCCTCACAATGGCACTGGGATTTGAACCCCCAAGCTGGGCTGAGCGAAGAGTCCTGCCTGACCTGCCTGCACTCTGGGCTGGCCCGAGTGGGGTGCCCAGGGCAGAGCGGGGTGCCCTGGAGCCTCTCCTGGTGCTGCAGGTGCTCAGTCCTCAGCTGGGGATGGTGGTGTGAGGGCTGACAATAACCTGGAGTGAGAAGCAGAGGCCCCCTTTGTGCAGTGGTTTCATCAGACACCAGCATGTCGGGGGTTAAACACCTTCCTGACAGCTCCATATCACTCCTGGCTGTCCCTTGCCCCCCCCTTGGTGTCCCCTCCCCTGGGTGCCAAGGGAGCACCCAGAGCGCTGGGCAGTTGGTTTTGGGGTAGTGGGCACTGGTGGCTGTTTCAAGCCCTGTAGATGCCGTGTCCCTCCAGCCCCAGGCCGGGGAGAAGTGTGGCAGGGCCACAGCAGTTCATCTCCCCGCACGGCAGAGTCACAGCGAGGTCTCGGCTGCTTCTGTAATGAGCCCCTTTTAGCCTCCTCGTGCTGGAGGGAGCGGGATGGTGGAGGTCTGGGGGCCTGGCCGAGGGCTGCTGCTCTGGCAGGACTTTGTAGAATCATGGAATGGTTTGGGTTGGAAGGGGCCTCAAAGCTCATCCCGTTCCACCCCCCTGCCACAGGCAGGGATGCCTTCCACTAGCCCAGGCTGCCCAGAGCCCCATCCAACCTGGCCTTGGACACTTCAAACCCTACTCTTGACTTCTCCAAAACCTTTCTGCCCTGCTCTGGCACTGGGAGGACCTTCACAGCCATACCCCTTCCTGCATCCAGCTGGTGGTGGGGATGCTGAACCCACACCTGGCCACAGTGTCCCATGTGTCCCTCAGGAGTGTGTGCCCCAGGCTGGCTGTTGTCTCTCAGATGGGCAGCATGCTGGCACGGAGTGTGTTTTGGGGTCAGGCCTCTCCTTCGCCAGGCTGTGCTTTGCATGACATGGTTTCATAGTCAGAGACTCATGGAATGGTTTGGGTTGGAAGGGATCTTAAAGACCATCTCGTTCCACCCCCTGCCATGAGCAAGCAGGGACACCTTCCACTATCCCAGGTTGCTCCAAGCCCCATCTGACACTTCTAGGGATGGGGCAGCCACATCACTCATGGTGAACTCATGAAACCGAGGCACAGCACCCAAACCCCTCGGCTGTGCCCAGTGTTGGGACCAGGACCCCGCTGGGTGTGATGGGAGCGTGGGGGGGGCTCTGGCTGCTGCCCCCCGGGATGTGCATCCCCCTGCCCCCCGTGCTGCAGGGGCTGAGCCGGCGTGTCAGGCTCGTGCACCGGGAGCTGCTGCTGCTGCTTCCCGATGCAGGGCAGCGGGTGCCTGCTGACTGACAGTTCTGCTTAATTAGGGAGTTGTTATTTTATCAATTCCAAAGCGCTTGAAGTTTTCTGCTCCAGCTCACGCTTCCCTCTCGTTAATGGGAAACCAACACCCTCCGTCAGAAAGGCAGCGGCACTGATGCATTTTAAAGGGTTCTGCTTGCTCCGGTTTGACATCCAAAATATAACAATCAAGCCATCAGCTGGTGGATGCCTGTTTGATGCGGCTCTGACAGCACTGAAAACCTTAATTTCCTAGCCCTCCCTCCTCCTCCTCCTTTCTCTTGCCGGGTCGGCTGAGCGGCAGCACGGGGGGCCGGGGCTGCCAGGGGCTGCCAGGGGCTGCCAGGGGCTGCCAGGGGCTGGGGGCCCACGGGAGTGCTGTGTGCTTGGGGCTGGGGGCTACCATGCAGAGACACCCCCCACCGAGTGCCACCGTCCTCTTGCAGGGCATGATGGAAATGAATTAGGGAGAAAAAGGTGTGGAAATGGTGTTTGGGTGAGAGTGTGGCCCAAGTGCCCATTGCTGCTCAAGGATTTGGGGGGTTTGGGGACTAGGGTGCTTTCCCTCCCCTCAGGGGACCCCTGAGCTGTGGCCATGGGGGCAGAGCCTGGCTGGGCACCCCAAGGGCATCCTCCAGGGGAGCAGCTCCTGGCTCTGTGGCTCTGTCACTGGTGCCACCCCCTGCCCCAGCCCCGGCCCTTGCCCTCTTGGATGGGGACAGTGCCTCTGGAGCCTTGCCCAGTGCAGCTGGAGAGGCTCCAACCCAGCACCTGGACCGATGGGGACGACTTTCCCCTCATGGAAGGCAGTCAGGGTGCCAGTGAGGGTGGGGATGCTGCCATGGGGGTGGCACAGGGATGAAGAGGGGCCTCACGGGGGGGATGGGGTGACCGGTCTCTGGGGTGCACAGCTCCTGTTTGTGCTGGGATTAGCCCTGGGGGTGCCCCCCGGCTCAGGGGGCTCTGTGGGGGCACGGCCCCGGGACCTCGGCTGAGTGGGGGCTGCCCGGTGGGGGCTCCCGTTGGGGCGGTTTGGCTCAGCTCAGCTCAGTCACGTATCCCATCCTCTCCATATATGGAGATTTTTCCAGCAGCACGGAGAGCCTGATGCTCCCCGGAGAGCTGCCCAGGGCCGGGAGCAGAGGGGCTGGGAGCGTCCGGTCATCCTGGGGACCACCCAGGGCCAGGAGGAGCTGTGGCTCCTTCACCTCAGGGACCCCCTTCATTCCCAACAGCTCCTGGATAAGCCGCCCTGGCTCTCTGGTCCCCACACTTGCAACACCCCTGGGATCCCCTCATGTGAGGGGACCCCTCTGACCCTTTCCTACAGCACAGGCAGGGTCCCCCCGGATGCTGGGCTGGGGTCCCCGACCCTTCAACACCCCAGGCCTGGAGCGGGTGTCTCCTGCCTGTCCCTGGCTTCTCACAGGGATGGGGGAGCCCACTGGCATCCCCCTGAGCTGCCCTGATGCGCTGCAGCACTGCCGGCGGCGTGGCCGGGAGGAATCCCCTTTCCTCCTTCCCACCTCATTTTTCTCTCTCCTTTTGGAGGTTTTCATCTTCTAATATTTTTTCCCCCTCTCTCCCCTCTTCTGGAATCGCTTCTCATGCAGCGCTAACTGCTGAAGTAACACAAACCTGCTAAATGGTCCAGCTTTATGATAGCATAAAAATGATACTACAGCAGCGAGTGGGGCTTTATTAAACCCCAGGGAAAGGCTCCAAATGAACAGCTTGCTCTGCTCTTAGCTTCCCCCCTACTCTCCCCCTTTATTTTTAATAACCACTGGAATATAAACTACAGTTAAGATCCCGTGGACTAGAAGAGCGCTCGCAGCCCAGCGTTCTCTCCATCCATCCCCCCGTGGATCCCTGTGTGCATCCCTCCCTCTGCTTCCCGGTGCTGGGATGAGAGGACCAGCATCCTGGCCTAGAAAATGAATTTTATAATTAAAAAGCCTTGTAAATATT